TTACTTTACTTACTTACTAAAAAAAGTGATTAGCCTCTTCCATTTAAAAATCCTGGCTACGCCACTGCTGCAAAGCAAAAAACGATATCAAAACAGGATAGCGGAAATAAATTTTCCCGAATTCACTTGAGTACTCGACGTTTACGTAGGTATACATATCATAATCAACGAGCAGCAATAACGGATAAGTTAACATTAATAATGTTCCTTACGAACATTTAAATATGATATAAAAAAAAAGAACACTCTACAATACAACTTAATTGAATCATTTAATTAATCGCTATAAATAATGTTATAATACGGTATAGAAGCAAAATAAAGAGAAAAATTAAGTCGCACACTTATTGTTATCGACTATTTGTAAAAAGTATCTAACGCGTACTTGATAGAAGGGATTGGATAGGGGGGGGACATACTCCACTGATCGCCCATTCACCCCCGCTGAAGATAAACGCCACTGCAGGCATCATTGTGACACATCACATATCACACTGCAGCGGACGGGTATAATAGCAGAAAAATAGTGAGGAGAAAAGTCAGTAACAGTTTTATAATATAGCAGCGTGTTACTTGATATCAATTGCACCTGTACGATGTGTAAACGGTCGTGGGGCGATGAAATAATTATCATCCCATCGGTCACGAGACTATATAATAATTATTATAATTATTATAAAATACTTGATCCGGCTAAGATCGTATGATTTTACGAACATTTCGTGTTTTCATCCGTGCGTGAATAATATTAAGCGCAGTTGCAGTTGGCCGCTGTCTGCTATTAACTGTTGTATACATACCGTACACAAATATATTTTTTTTAAATTCAACTTCATAATTTGCACTTTTGCAAACCGAACACACGTCACGTAAAAGGTTTTATATTATTTGCGATTGCGTGTTTTTGTCGCTACAGTAAATAAATAAAAATTCGCTAAAATATTTTTTTTTTTTTCATTCAACAGTCGGTTGTTTTTAATACAATATAAAATAATACGCAAAGCTGCGCCTCCACATCGGTGTTTAGTGCAAAATATTTTAATTTTAGTGATTAAAATATTGTTTTTGTTAAATTCGGTTTTTTTTTTTTGTTCGAATGACAGAAAATTATTTGAATTCCGTAAGTATATTTCATCCTCGCGATAACACCGTTGTAGTTGGCGAACACCACACTGTGTAAGTAATTGTGTTAACTTGACCGATATTATTATTATATCACTTTATACATGCTTATTATTTATTAGATTGTGATGAGTAAGCGCGGCCCGCGGTGTTAGTCTATTTAAAACATGTTTTATACCTAATAGCTACGCGTGTGTATTACGCAGTGTAATACAATCGAGACAAATATTATTTAAAAACTGCCAGGTGATAATATAAATAATTACCAATAGACACTCGTCGATTCGTAAAAACCATAATTACAGACATCATAGTATACCTAGGTGTTAATTCGTGGGTTAAAATTTATCTTAAGTGTGCACAGCACGCTGCGTTTATGAAATCAAATAGTATCAGATCAGATTTAGAAAAAAATCAAGTTATATTTTTATTTTTAGTTTGCATCTTGAACACTGTCTGTAAATTAATGCGTATACAATTAATAATGCATTACCTAAATAAAACTGATGCAGATCGGTACCGGAATAAGATTTTTTTCCATTTTTAAAACCCAATTCGAAATCGCGGATCGCGTTGCTATCGTCTCTCACCCACGATGAACAGCAATAACTATCAATATTTAGTCCACCAGACCGAAGCGATAATGATTTTGAAAACATATTTGCCATGAAGTCACCTCGATATCGATCAAACTGCTACTACAGGTTTGTAACCTCAACATAAATCGCACTTTTATACTAGAGGTATAAAATATTAAGGGTATGCACATAATTTGTTTAAAATGAAAAAATAATATTAAAAGTAAAAGTTAAAGATTAAGCGTTAAAAGTAGCCACGTGAGGCTGATGTAATATAAATAGTAAATGTTTATTGTTATTTAAACGTTATGAGCATTAATTATTTTTTTTTCTTTAGAATTTATTTGTAATTTATTTAATTAATTCAGTGTTATCTACTGTATTCTTGCCCGTTGAGGAATTGATATTTTAAAACAAAATATAATGATTTAAAATATCGAACCAATCGATCTAGGGTATGCTATATTATGCTATATATAATATGCTATATTCGAATGTGCTTTCAGAATCCCATAATTTAGAATTTTAATGATTCAGTCACATGAATCTTACGCTGGTGGACGAAAAAAAGGCTAGGTTTCTCTGCATATTTCACGTGTGAAATACGAAGACAACACGTTATATCGGTTTCGAAACTTCTTGACACATTCATCGTCTCAAATGCAGTGGCACACCCAGAAATTTTCATTAGAGGGGATGTTATATAAGTAGGGCTCGGATTTAAGTGCACTTAAAATCATACAAATATACTTTAAAAAATAGCCAAAAATATCTTTAAAAAATGTATTTTACCTCAAAAATGATCTTAAAAATGACATAATTTTTTTTATTTTGGGCATTAATACACTATTTAATACATTAAAATCACATTCACACGTTATCCGAGCAACGTCTGCGAGGTAATACCATTGATTAAACATACATGTATGTATTGTATGTGATTGAAATATGATGATTATTTGCAATTTTACCGAATATTGATGACGTTCCATAGTCAATAATAAAGATAAGATAAAAACTGAATCGAAAAATAATGATTGACAATGTGTATGGAAAAACCCGATAAACCTACTTAAATATCAAGAAAATAATTTGTCTTTCCATTTTATTTTGAATAGCTAAATTTGTTTAATATATCGTAGTATAGTAGTTTAAAAACCAACAAAATGACCCAATAAGGGCAGATGTAAACTGGGCTCACGATTACCTTTTTTGTTGTAAATTCAGCCTTGAAAATTTTAGGTAATAAAGTAGGTAGATTGTAAACTCGGCACGGAAATTTCAAGTAATAAAAAAGGTCGATTGTAATCTGCATGAACCTATCAGGTACCAAGTACTACAACGACAATGTGTTACCACCGTGGCCAAACGCAAACGAACTGAAGATATCTGCAGTAGGCCAAACAAATTTTTTTGTAGTGCAGTAAACAATATACCTGACGCTCAAGATTTACAAGTGATATTCAGTATGTTAAAAGGAATATATACAACGCCTCCTCATGGTGTCCTCTGGGTAATGCTAAATAGTTCTCAAAAATATAAGAAAATTATATAAATGTACATTTTCATCCGCGACGAGTTTACATCTAAATTATTTATACCTGCAAAAACACCCGACCGAGTTTACACTTAAATTATTTTTACCCGAAAAAAATATGGGCCGAGTTTACAATCGTCCATAATACGTGGACGATATGCAAACGAACACATTATGCGAAACGAACAACGGCCTTTTACATGCGATCTCCGCGATTGCGGGGGCGTGTGCTCGGAGCGTCCGCGAACAAAACGGAACGGATCGCACGTCCGGGTTCTGCACGGGATGTCGATTCGAAATATCGACACGAAAAGAACCATCGATCGCGATAAATATCGTAATGTCAATATCTAACAATATCGCAATAGGACTAGATCAAATATTTTAATTAATGGAAAATGTTGCTCAAGATTTTTAATTTTTAAATCCAACTATAATTTATTCTTTTCCTACTGTCGACTTATGCAATAAATATAAAAATTATCTCGACAGATTTAAATTCATTTCAGAAAAACAAAGGTTTAAAGAGCATGTTTGCAAATTACATGTTTCAAATTAAAAGCGAGCTTCTTGAAATGTTGAATTTTTTTTTGTCCATAAAAATAAATTTCAAAATGTATATCCAAATATATCAATTTCTTATCAAAATATATCACACGGTGTCTGTGACTTCAACTACACTTGAACGAAAGTTTAACAAACTAAAATTAATAAAAATATACCAGCAATGTATTACAGAGCAACCAAGACTTAACTACTCGTCTATTATAACAGTAGAAAAAATAATTTTTAAATTTAGAAATATTTAGAAATGCAATTTTTTTGAAAAAATTAAAGTAACCAAGATATTTTTAGTTCATGTCCTTATATTAATTAATGATTTTTAAGTGTAACACATTCTGTACTATACGAATTATGTATGAAAACAACAGTTTCAATAAAAATATTTGTTATATAAAATTATAATTTTTGTTTTCTTTTAACACCCTTACAATCAGTGGCGTATTTTGAGATTTTTTTTTTAGGGGGTGTCCTGACTCCTGGCAATATTTTATCTCAACAAATATTAACATAGTTTCATCACGAATTCATACCTGATTATAATACATCTTAATACCTTACATAAATGGTAATTTTTTAGTAAAAAAATCTTAGGATATCTACTTAAATTTTTAATTATTCAGCAAAAAATAAAATCGTTGTAGGTACTTCGAGTGTACTGTACACTGTACACAGTATGTACTTTATATTGTCGGCCTTTGCTATAGTAATTAGTTGACAATAACTTGTATTCGAAGAAAGATAATAAGGCGATAATCAATAATACGGCTCACCCGACATCACGAAACGATAATACAATTCTAAGAATTGGTAAGGGGTCATGTGTTCGAATGCTGTATGTACGAACTTCAAGTGTCCGAAAAATTGTCTGTTCGAAAGACTGTGTGTACGAAAAGTCGTATGTTCGAAATTATTGATAAACGAAACTAAACGAAAATAACATTATAATTGCGTTTTCATAATATTGGATTTCACACAATTTTATCTTTACTGATAAAGTATTACAGATATTCTTGACGGTTTTTTTTTGTCTGTTATCTATCAGTACGGCTTGATACATCATTACAAAAGTGTCAAACACAATTTCGTTTAAATTTTATTTTTAAATAATATTTTATAAATTTGTCTAAGTGATTTTTCTTTTTTTAAATGGCTAGTTTAAATACGTTTAAAAGTATACACGGCAAGGAAATGTTACTTGTAAATAATTATGAATTCATGCTTGGTAAGATACGACTGCGAATACGTGATTAAAATAATAATATATATTATTGGAAATGTACAAAACGATGTGGAGCAACATTTCGAACAATATTTGACCACGGTAAACATAAACAAGACGATTGTTCTATTTTTAATGATCATTACCACGCACCAGATACAGTTAAAATTCAATGCAAAATTTTAAAAAATAAAATTAAAAAAATGTGCTCAAGCTTCACAAGACGCACCAAATCAAATATATCTGAATGAAATTGCAAATTGCAATGTCATAATTTCATCTCAAGTAACTAAAAACGCATCTAAGCAAATCGTAAAAAGGCAGAGAAAAGGAAAAGAACTAGAACCAGTTTCACTAAATTTTATACCTTTCTCGGAACTTCAAAATACAATTTCAGGACAACCTTTCTTTTTGAAAAATGTAATCGAAGGAAATAATAAATTTATGATTTTCACAACAGTTCAGAATTGTATATACTTGAGAGAATCACATTTTTGGCTCGCTGATGGAACATTCAAGGCTTGTCCTGGAATTTTTAAACAGATATTTACAATACATGGGTCAATTTCACGAGGTATCAATAACAACATTTGTGTACCATTGCTATACGTGTTGATGACCAACCAAACTGAAGATGATTATAAAACAGTGCTAAATGTGTTTAATAATTTTGCGATTGAAATTAATATTAATTTCGAAAACAATAATGAACTTGAAATAATAACGGACTTTGAAAAATCTTCAATCAACGCGATCAATGATGTCTTTCCATTTGTAACGCATTCTACTTGTTTTTTTCATTTTTGTCAAAATATCTGGCGTCATATTCAAAAAGAAGGGCTATCTACAAAGTACATGGAAGACCCGGAATTTAATTTGATCTGTCGGCATTTGCCTGCTCTTTCTTTTCTCCCAGTAAACAAAGTACGTATTAAAAAAAATACATAACACTTACCTTTTTTTATTTTATTACTATCTAATATTTCAGAGTCGTGCAATCTTATTGCAACTTTTAAAATATACTGTTATATTTTTTTTTAGGTAATCGAAGGTTGGGAAATTGTGAAATTATTATTTAGTGACAACGAAAAAGAACAAGCACTTTTAGAATACTTCGAAAATACTTACATTTATGGTAAACCAGCTATGAGACTACGCGGACGTAAAAAACCTCAACGACACCCTCCTTTATTTCCAATTGACATGTGGTCAGTAGCTTCAAGAGTTGATGAAAATTTGCCAAGAACAACAAATATTGCTGAATCATGGCACGGTCGACTTAATAGGTAGGAAAAATGTATCAATAGTCATAACATAATTTGTTGCAAAATGAACGTTATAACGTGGTTATAATATAAAAAAAA